AGAATGCGAGTTGTCTTCTTCGGAACAAGAGGACGTGACCGTTGGAGGGCTGAAAACACAAGACGAAATGTGCGAACTTTTCGCCATGTATTACCCTCGAGTGGAAGGGATGAACATCTGCCTCACGAGCGTGGACTACCAATACTTCCACTCCACATTTGAACTTGGTGGGGTGCACATGAACTGGTGAGTCTTTTTGAGTTGGAAGTCATTGCATTGAAAAGAAAATAATGAAAGAAAAAAATAGAAAATAATTTGAAAAAATAAAGTAAGCTCAGCCAACATACTCATTTTTGGCTATCATTTCCGTTCATGTTACGTATCGCAAGTTTCACTTTCCTCTTTTAATGAAGGAAAACTGAACCCATTTGAGTAACTCCATTGCATTAGAAAACTTTACTTTGAGAATCTCCTGCCTTTCGTTCCAAACTTCAAACATTTAAGCGGAAAAAACTTCCTTTCCTCTTATCCCACTTGTTCCCATCCTTGATGCGTCATTTCAAGATGGGACATCATGAACGGAATCTTCCGCAGACAAGTTTAAATCACAGAAACAAAACCTCGACACGTCTAGACACGAGATGTAGGTCATTTCGTATTTCAATGTATTTATACATTAATGTATGAAAGAGAACTTTCTTCACAGCTATAGTTCGCAAACCCATTCAGCCAACATTCATTTTAAACAAAGAAACAGGGGATTCCCTCTACATTAGAAAAATCTCTTCATTCAGTGAGAGAAGCAATAACTCAGAGCGCCTTATGCCGTGAAAGCAAAATGAGCAAGACATAAAATTGTTCATATCAATATTTGAAGTTACCAGAATACAAATAAAACTTGGTCCGTAGCAACGAACCGATCAGCATTAGTATGGAACGAGGTTGATGTAAAAATACTATGTTCATAAGCGTCAATATGAATGATTTGGACGATATTGTTCAAAAGGCTTGCGAAGCAAGGATTAAATTAAATTTCTCTCCTGTAAGGCAATCACTTGAATGGGAACTGGACGAGACGAATCAGACCATTCATGAGTACTTCAGAGGCTTCAATTGGGAGAACTTCGACCTGGAAGCCTATCAAGAAGCCGTTCGATTCTATCCTCAGCAAGGAATTTGCGGACGATCTTCCAACTTTTTGGTAAGCATTATTTACCTCCTCGTTTTGCCATTTTTGCAAGAAGCATGCTAGCCTGTTCTTGTGTGGATTGAACCGTTCCTGCAGGAAGTGAAGGACGTGACATTCCCAGAATACGAGAGCGAATACCAACCTCCGCCGAGACAGTGCCCCGTGGAGAGTCCCAACCACTGAATTTTCATTTTCGCTTCATTGTGAATGAAAATACATAGAATCCTTTTCTCGGAAGGGCGATTGTCAATTCGGCGGTCATTGTTTTCGATGTCGTTCCGTTTCGAGACAGGTGCACTTCAGTTAGGCACAGACAGATTGAACTAAGGACTGCGGAGAAACAACTCGTCCAACTCGTCTAACAGATTTAAGCCACTTCCTTTTCCTTTTAGTCCTCATGAAGTGCAATTTATTACCTGAACAACAATCCAATTCATTTCATTTACCCCGTGTGCCAGTTGAGATCACCGTATCTCCTTCGATGCTTTCCATCGAAATAGTGAAATATTGACAAGTGAAACATGGACGAGCAGGATAACACTCGAAGAAGTTCCTGACTCTTCACTCCCCTGAAGTTGAGTTTTAATATTTCACCAAAGAAGCTTGGCATGGTCAATGAAATTGCAATTCAGCCAAGTAGAAGAACTGGTATTTGTCATCCAGAAAATGGCAGGTCGGAATCTCTCAGGGTAACTTCATTTTCCGTCTGAAATCCCCACAACCTACTCTATCTCGCAATTATTCACTCAAATGATACACGACGAAAGATCCTCACGCTGCTGACTTTGCATTGAATGCGGTCCATTTCGAGACAGATATAATATATATTTTTTGAGCCTTTGGTTGGGAAAGAGCCGATTCTATTTTCCTCCTAAATTCAAGATCCTGAATGGAATCACGAATCAAAGGCAAAGAAGAATGACATTCTTTTGATGGGGCAGAAGTGCATCATATGCCCGACAAGTACAGGCAGAATCGAATTGATGAATTTCTATTGTGAAAAAATCTATCCCCTATGTGATACGTTTTGATCGCATTATATTTTCAAGGCGATAAAAATCATCACATGGAGTAAAGTTTTTTTTTACGACCGAAATACCTCAATTGTATGTCCTCGATACTATGAGCGTGGCAGTCGAAATACAAGTAATCTCTTGACGGGTGGATTTTTCATTTTTGAGAAATGAGTCAATTAGGACAGAAGCTTTGTTACAGGAGGAGCTTCATTTAGGCGTTTTTGGCAAAAACTCATGCCTTGCTTCGCTTCTCACATCTTTCCATTGTAAATGATGGTGTTTGAGAATCATCCTTCGAGAACGTGCTATCTTTTAAGAAGCAAATAAAAAATTCATTTTATGTGAGTAACGTCTCATGGAAGTGTTCCACACACATTTGAAAGACAGTCAACACTGTCACAACATTTTGTCATACACTAATGTAAAAAAAAACCTGTCAAAATGTTTTATGACCATGTCCT